TGCAGCTTTCCAGTACCTGAAGGGTCCTACAAAAAACCTGGAGAGGGACTTTTACGAGGGTATGTAGTGACAGGACACAAGGGGCAATGGTTTTAACCTAAAAGAAGGTAGATTTAGACTGGATGTAAGGAAGAAATTATTTTCTCTGAGGGTGGTGAGGCACTGGCACAGGTTGCCCAGAGAAGCTGTGGCTGGCCCCCCCCCGGGCGTGTGCAAGGTTGGATGGGGCTTTGAGCAAACTGGTCTAGTGGAAGGTGTCCCTGCCCATGGCAGGGGGGTTGGAATGAGATGATCTTTAAGGCCCCTTCCAACCCAAACGGTTCTATGATTCTACGATTCTTAGCCACACTAAGTAGTCAAGGTGGGGGGTTTGGAGAGCTATGCCACTATCCTGGGTGAATGGCTTCCGATAAACAAGTTAATTCTTTCAGAACTGGTTTGGGTGTCTCAGCCTGCCGTATCCCCAGACCATACAGAGGTGAAGGTCCCCTTCACTGGAAACTTTCCAGGCCACGTTGGATGGGGCTCTGTGCAGCCTGGTCTAGTTGAACATGTGCCTGATCACTGCAGGGGAGTTGGGCTAGATGACCTCTAAATTCACTTCCAACCCAAAGCATTCTATGATTCTATGATATGCACGTAAGGATTGAATTCTGGAAAAATTGTAGGCCTGACTCAAAACCATGGCAACAAACTTGCTGTCAACATGGGAGTTGGGAGACAGCAAATTACCTAAGTGGAGATAATAATGCAGACCATTCAATTCTAGAATTTGTCCCCAGTTCTTATTAAGTTTCAGAATGTAATCTAAACTATTATTTAAATTAAATTTTAATCAGTATCCCCTATCTGCCCCCTTTTTATTACTGTAAACATGGTATATCTAAAATACGTATTTTGGATGCTAATATTTTCTAAACACAAAGTGATTTCTCTCTTCATGTTTAACAAGAAGTAGAGGCAAAGAAGAGGAAGAGAAAAGAGTGAGAATCCTAATCTAGGAAAGTACTAAAAATAAAGTTAATTTAGCTTTAGCGGTTTGGTTTTATATCCAGGAATAATGGAGATGTGCCACAAATTGTCCTCTGTTTGTACCTTCCTTTTGTACAATAAAAATGGGGATAAAATATTTTAATGTCTCACAAGATAAATCCATTAGTATTCGTGGGAACCTGAGATATCATTGTGATAAACGCCATGAGAAACTAATAATTCCGAGTGCAGCATAGGCATCAGAAGATTTGCACTAAATAAGGGAGTGGCTAGAAACTGAGTGAGCAGGGCTGAACAACTGCCTTTCCTATGAGCTCTCATCCAGCCCATGCACTAAATGAGGCGGGGATCCTGTGGAAAAAAATACTGAGCCATCATGTAATTATAGACTGCACACACAGTTAAAGATATGTCCACATAAGGAAGCAGAACTGAGACTGTGCGAATGCACACTCCTTTCTTGCACCTCCTAGCATTTGAGTGCTTCACTCTGTAGTGGAGCTACATGCAAGAAAAGCTTTTCTGTGTAGAATTGTCTGGGGCTGCTATGCAAACATCAGAAGGGTATATTTTATGGGTCCAGTAGTTTCCTCAGAAATTCTCTTATTTGTCATGAAATACACACACACACACACAGAGATGCACACACGTGTGCACAGACATGCTTACACCCGTATCTGTCATGAAGCTGTGCAGTGGTAAAGGGTAGTCTAATTCACACAATGAATCTAGGTTCCTCCACTGAATTTCCTTCCCCTTACTAAAGCACTGGTCCTCACAGTTCAGGTGCATTATGCAACAGGATCACAGATAGAGGAAGGTTTTGTTACCACTGTGGGAGGAGTAGCCAAGGGATCTGCAGTTATGTGGATCAAGAATATAAACCTCTTACACAGCAGTGCACAGATCAGCTGCATTCCTGCAGTTCAGAGCCTGCGCTAACAGCAGAGAAATGTTCTAAAGCTCCTGAATTGAGAAGTCTTTTTTGCCCTCCCATTTTTTGTTTTGCTTAGCCTGTTTACTGGGATAGCATTGAGGTGCAAGACAGATGGAAACCAGCTCTGTTTACCTTAACTGGGGTGTTCATGAAGAAGTCTAGTTTTTAGGTCAATATTTTGATGTTTTCACTGCTGAATGTTTTAGCAGGAACAGCCAAGTACTTCGGATTATAGACAGAGTTTGGAGAGGGAAAAATAAATATAGAGAGAGGGAACAGCTTTCTTTTTCTTTCTTCATGGCTTTTAAATGATAATAGAATAAATTACAGGTGAGAAACCCTTAAAATACAGTCTTTATTAAGCTGTCTAAGTATAGATTTTCCTGTCTGGAAGATGTTCTGCTTACATTTCAACCACATTTTCTGGGCAGTAATTACTGACAAACAAATGCCACATTGTAGTTGTGTTGCCTTTGCAGGAAGAATAATGTTGATTTTCACTCTGTCAGCTGCTCAATGATAATTTTCAGAAATTATTTTTCAGCTACTGCTGTTCTACATTGGCAAAAGATGGTGTACCCACATTTCTTGTCAGAAAGCACACTTTTATTTACAAAAAAAGAAAAAAAATGCATCCAGTACACAACATTGGTAAAATAATGAAAAGAAAAATTATACCATACCAATATTTTTTTCAGTGTGTAGTACCTTATACATAGATTCCAACACCCTGTAACAATCACATTATATTTGATATGTGCAAACAATACACAGATTTTTAGCTTAAAAGCTCTTATAAGTATTTATTTTGATGATTTAATGTATCATAAGACCAATTCAGTCAGTATAATCAGTAAGGAAACACAGTACCTACAACACATCAAGGCTAATAACATGGAAAGCTATTCAAAATATACTACCAAAAATCTCACAAAGAATAAAATTAATTTCTTTTTCAGGAGGACAAAAGAGGTTTGTGCTTTACTGAGATCCTTTAATACAAGATAAACAGTGTTCAAAAGGGATTTTCCTTTGTTGGTCTTACTGCAACATGTGAAGTTCTGCTATCAGAACTAAAACAAGTCTGGGCATATACGTTAGAATTTAACACAAACTCTTTTTGATATAGTTACCTGTGTAAAACATGAAACTATTTATACCATTGTTAACTCACAAGTGGTTGTGCATGTCTAAGTGTCTGCTTTCCCTCTCGGTTCTTTGGCATATCACTAATTTGATGCAAATACCCTCCTGAATGCCCTTGAAAAAGAAATAAACCACCAGCAGCAATATAGCCAAATAACCAGACACATTCATTGTACTTACTACACAAGGTCATGTTTTAAATTTGGGTGTTGGTGCTGATGTTTACATATAAAATTGGTATTTGTACACCTGGATGCTTGTTGAATAGCAAATATGAAACAGGAAACTAAAGTCTGCATATAGCTTTTCACTGTATTATCAGTGATTTTAAATACAGTACAAAATAGCTTATAGGCTATTATCTCTATAGTCAATTTTATGTTTGATATCCCCATAGCATTATACCTCCTTAGAGATTTACTGTATTTTGAATTGTCAATAAAAAGCGCTTGTATAAGATGAAATCTCAGCTCCACTGAAGGTAAGACCAAAACTCACTGACTTCAACAGAGCTAAAATTTTTTTATATTTGTAAGCTAAACTTGCTAGCTTGCTACATTGCACTCATTTGCACAGTGTACCTTACTTCCCTTGAGGATTATAGGAGACCTGATTATCAAGAGGAGTTGCTTGCACTGATGCAGTCACATTGGTTGTTACAGGTTTTTGACTATCTTGCACTACATCAAAAGCATCACGTATTACAAATACAGGTTCCGTTTTCTGCACGTGCTCACCCTTTTTATTGGGAGTTCACTGTAAACATCTTTTGATTTCCAGTGACTTCTGATATCTAAGTGCAAAATTATGTTTGTTATTTGTATTTATCCATTCATTTTACTTTGATTTGCTACTCGTTCATTCAGATAACAGCATCACCAGTGATCTTTAGGAATAAATGTTGTTTCTACAATGGAGAAGCATGCTAATGTTTAATTTCTGTACTATCATTTAGCCAAGTCTAATACAAGATATAATACCTAGAAGAAAAATATATCAAAATGGTGTGATAAATACACATATATATTTAAACTAGAAGTAATTTCCAACCAGTTTATCATAAGTTTATATGTCCATTTTCATACCTAAATTACTACAGTGACAACAACAACATATCTTCAAACTAAAAAGAAATTAAATCTTAACATAAATGTTCTGAATATATTTTAAGCAACGCTATACTATGAAGTAGACTCTTCTATGGTTTGTATCTCAGAGTGCTGTAACACATATCACATTCTTACTATTTTGCCATTAATATTAGTCAAAAAGTACTTACAAAATGGTCAAATAAATTTTAGAAAATGGTATTCTGTCATCAGTACAATGTAGACAAAGAAATTTCACCAGTAATGGTACTTGGCTGTACACGTCAGTGTAGCTAATGCTATTGCAGTTGGAATGGCAGGTCAGCAATGTATTGTCTTCTCTGATGCCCACTTTTGATTTCCTGTTTTCACAACAGGATGTTATCACCAAAGGAAGCATTTCTTTTCAGGATACTCTTCTCCCCAGAGTGGCAGTCTCTGGTGTTTAATAGACCAGAGCCAGAATAAAACCAGTTCCCAGAGTTTGTTGTCCCCTGTATCCTTCATAGACCAGAAATGGCCTCTCTGGGTACAGCTAATTGAAGAACTGTTTTTACATGGACTGTCACAAATGTGGAAAGGAAGTGGAAAACTATAACCTTAACTTGAGCTCGTGTTCCCTAAATTTTGATTGCTCAGATAAATGGCAATACGAATGTCATACAAAGCAGGGGATGACAAAACCCTGAAAGCCTAAAAAAGGTTAATTGTACATTTAGAAGAGTGTAACCAACTAATGTGTGATCAGCTTTAGTAACTTCTCTTGCTTTCACAATTAGGAAGTCCAAAATAGATTTTGATCTTCAATGAAGCTCTTACTTGCATAGAATTCTGCATCAGTCATTATCATAGATGCAATCTGAAATGAAATAAAATATAAAAATATTAATAATATGTAGTACTTCAACCCAAGGATAAAGTTATTTGATGTAATTTAATATAGTTATTGTATTGTTTGAAATGTTCCAACATACCATCACCAATATCATCGTAAATCTCTCCATCACTGGAAGTTAAAAGAAGAAAAATAATGTATTAAAATACATTCAGATACATATTACTCTTTGCATGCAGATACAAAATAGTGTAGCAGTAAGGTGCAGACATACTATCAAGTAATTAATTTGCTGATTATGAAAGTGCAACTTTGAGGTAACAGAACAGTGTTCAGCAAGATGGTCAGGTCAAACGATTTTCAGTGAAGGGTAGAACTTCATACATTTCTTTCTAGTGTGAAAGACTTGCTTTATTAAAATGTTGGGTTTTTTAATTAAGATTTTAAGTAGCTATTCTAACAATCTCATGTATTTCCATAAAAAAGGAAATACTCATTTTTTAAAATGAAAACCGTAAAAGATGAGTAAAAAAAATCAGTATAGCCTTGGAATTCTTATTTGTTTCTGTACTTGGAGCAGTTTTTAGGTAAAGAATTTACATAATGTCTATAAATGATACATGCTCCATGAATAGGAATTTAAAAAATATGTCGCTTAGATAAATGAGCAGGCCCATGGAAGCCAATAAGGCTATTTATATATCTAAGTTAAACGTGTCTATAAGTGTTTGCAGGCCTTCATTTTACAAGTTGCATCTGAATTGATATTTAAGGGTCTGACATAAAGCCCACTGAAGGAAATGGAAAGGCTTTGTCTGATGAGAGTTTTGGATTAGAACCTAAATACTGAACTCCTCACAATTATATGGAGCAACACTGAGCCAAATCTGCTCAATCTCAGTAAGACCGAAATAAACCTAAAGAAAAATTGTTACATTTTACTGAAACTTTTGAAAATGGCATCAATACACTTAATCACATTAATGTACAGTTCAGTAGTAGATTCTAATACCAAATAATGCTTAATTTACTTAATTTTTCATGGTTTAAACTAGCGTTTATTGTTAAGCAATGAAAAATGGGCTCCTGGAAAATTTCCAACATGGATACATATGACTAATGCTTGAGAAATCTGAACTCCATAAAAATAACTCAATTTGCAGGACTAGAATTACATACTAAAATAATTACATTTCACTTTTATTTAACAGTTTAGAACAAAATTGAGAGTTATAACAAATTTTTCAGAAAGATGACTTTGTACTTACTTCTCAACTAAATTGCTTCTCAGAACATAGCCATCTGTAAAATTGAAATATATAAGTATTTAAGTAAAATTTAAATATTCATGTTATTTCTGCAGTTGCTAGCACTACTGAAATGCAGTTTTCCTCTTTCAGATATTTCAGACAGAGAGGCGTAATAGATGGATAACAATGTGCAATAGTTCTGTACTCGAGGAACATTTTGCTGTGTCCAATTTTAGCTTGAATTATTCTTATCTGCTTGTTTAATATAACGTGGTGCCTTAGATAGGGAATCAGAATACTACAGTAGCTCCAAGACCAGTTAGGTGTCTACTGTGCCAGGTACTTTATGTATTCATAAAACGTCATTTTTCTTGTTTTGTTGCAATAGTTTCCATTGTGTACAAAACTAATGCTGAAAGGAAAAAACAGTAATACAGGTTATGCAAGATTATGTTTTCATCTTACATTTTAGTGTCCTGGTTGCATGAGAGGAGTGTGGAACAATGGGTATTGCCACAAAATATAGCACAGTTCACAAACTATAGCACAAAAATGTGTTGTAATAATAACCACACAATAATATTTATAGTAATAAATAATAAAAATATGTATAGTTTCCTACAGGGAACAAAATGTCTTTGAAGTTGTATACACCAATTAATTAACATGAACTGTAATTGTTTAGAAATTTTTAACTGTATCATATCAATAAGAACTGTTTATATAGATAATGGAAATACCTTAGAAAAGGTACTCACTAGTGTTTTATACTATTACTCTGTCACATTACTAATGAAATCAGATAGAACTACACATATTCTTCTCCAGTATGTTTAATCTCTTGAAAACATTACTTGCTCTCTTTGGTAAAAAACATCTACTGAAATACTTGTCAATTGGTATAATGTATACAAGCAAACAGAAAGCTGTAGCAATAATTACATATTTTTGGGTAAACATTAGTATGTTGGTACAAAATTAGGACAGTTCTAAAGGAGAAATATGACCTTGTGTTATATTTGAAATTATTATAGAAGTTTCCTTTTTCTATACCTTAGGAGGCATAAATGGTCACACTAAAATGGCAGTTTTTTAGTCATTCATACACAATTCGTATGTTTTAGAGTAAATTTATTAGCTTGACTTGCAAAGTTCCTTGAATTCTTGGAGCTGCTACTACTCCAGATACTTAGAGGAACCGTTATACAGCACAGAAAGTATCAGTTTTCTGCTAGTATTTCTGGTCGCAATCCTTCAGGTCAGTCTAGCTGCATCCCCAGATATTACTGTGTTAACTTAAGGAGTTATTTCCTCCTTCACATGAACTTTTCTTTTCTGATACACAAGAAATGAAAGTATTTTTTCTTTTTTTTAAGATCTGTAATTTTACTAGTAGGGGAAACCTTCCCTTGTAAGTTGGCATCAGACGCAATGAGCTAGTACTGCTCCCAAAAGCTGCTGAATTATCACCATCTTCAACTGGCCCATGTTTTGATATATAAAAATGTCCTATGATTCCTATGTGGAATACTGGAAAAATTATCTGACAAGACTAATATCCCAAATAGTCCTGCAAATAGTAATACATAACTAATTCTTATATACAGCTTTTCTTCATAAACAAACATTTGCATAATTCATTTTAACTTGGCATATTTCCATCTTAAAATATGTAGATATCAGATTTTGCTATAAATCTCAAGTGTAAATAAGTTTTTTTCCAGAATATGCTCTATTAATTGTTATATTGAAAGTAGGTCAGCGATTTGCTTTGTGAAGGTCAGAATACATTAAAAACACTGCATTTTTAAAGAAAACTTCTGTCTTGTGCTAGAACTGAAGGTTGCCTAAAAAGACATTAATTTCATGTGATAATATTTTATTTGACACTAATCTGCTTTAGCTTCTGTTGAAGACTTAACAGTTACAGGAATGAAAAATAGTTCTATGCATTTAATATTCAATTGCAGCTATGTAAGATAAAATTTGTTTCATTTGCCTGTATTGTACATCTTCTGGCTCATGAAGATTTGATACTCACATAAATTCTGTTATAACTTATGCCTACTAAAGATGTTAAACTGCAGATTATCTTCAACAGTCAGAGAACCTAGTGCTGCAGATTTTCAGTCACCAGTGTATTTTCTCAGGCTGACTGCAAGACGGTATACATAGGGAAAGTTCTGTCTGCTCAGGATATCTTAGCCTGGTTGCCTTTGCTCAGATTTTATTATCTGGGATAAAGTAATGGAAATTGATTTTTTTTAAAAGATGTCATCTTTTTAAAATTCTCTTTAAGGTGAGTACAGTAATTTCCAGGACTCCTGAAGTCTCACTGGGAACCATTTAAAATAATTTCACTAATCTAATCTTCTCAGTTTCTTCTTGTACTTTTCTTATGTGAAATACATGAAAGTAAAATTTCTTCGCTTACAGTCGTGGCGCACACAGTATGCTTGCAAGCCAGACGTGCATGTGCCAGTCCTTCTACCACTGTAAAGCATAATCTAGGTTCTTCTGACAGTTCCTAGCCCCTAAATATTGGGGGGATATGGCTCCTGCTGATCTCACACTC